CCAAGCTAGCCTTTAATTCCTGGGCTCAAACAATCCTTCTCCCTCAGCTTCTTGAATTGCTGGTAGCACCAATATACACTATTATTCACGGTTTGTTTTTATCATTTTAAATTAAGGAAGAATGGCTGGGGTTTAACTTCTGTGGAGGCATCTTTAAACTATCTAGATTGAATGAAGGCTACACATACCTTTAATCCCAGCACTTGGGAAGCAGATCTCTATGAGTTTGAGGCCAGCCTTGTCTACAGAGAGAGTTCTAGGTCACCTGGAGCTGTACAGTGAAACCCTTGTCCCAAAAAGCTAAAACAAACAAAAGAATGTCTGAGTTGAGAGATTCTGGGGTCCAGGAGATCTGTGGGTAGACAGATCTGGGTGTGGATTCTGCTGTATATCATCTGTGTCAAACTCAGATGGTTCATTTAGATAAAAGTCATAAAAATAAGTGTGTCTATGGAGTCCATTTAAGTCAGCCTCTTGGATGCCTGATAAACATTAGCTGGATTTCACCCTGATGAAAATAGCTGGCCAACTCAGAGACTGATCTTTTTCTTGGGCCCTCTTACCCTCTGTTGCTCTTAGTTTCTGCTGAATGTGTCTGATATGCTTGAAACTTTTCTAGCACTGTGTCCCCTCAATTTTTAAAAGGGCCACTGCAATATATACCCCACTGCCAGAACCATCTACCTCCTGGTGGGCCTCACCTACCAAGGGGGCTGGCCCTTCCCTTCTGCCTGGGCCCCTCCAAGCTCAAGCCCAAGACCTTTTTGGGCACTACCCACCTGCTCCTCTGTCATCAAGTCCTCAACTACAAGCACTTGCCTCTCCGTCCCCCGCCCATCGGTGACATGCCAGGCCTCTTAAGACTGCTCTGCTGTTTGAAGGGGGGAGGGGCAGAAAGGTCTTGGGCTTCAGTGGCATTCTGGAGACTCAGACACTGACTGAGAAGGGCAGAGCTGGTCACAGTCCCCCTTTTTGGTGGGTCTAACTATTTCTGGGTAATGGAAGGGGATCTCAGTGGCAGTCCAGCTTTAGCTTGGAGTTATACCACTTTCAGAGGTGGGAGCATTGGGAACAGGCACAAGGTCCTTCTGAAGCATTTCAAATACAGAATCAGTTTCTTTACCTGGCTGGAAAAATGCAGCATGTTTGGGTGGGGGAGGGGAGTAGAACACACCTCCCCTTGGGTGAGTCAGGGTATGCACAGTATCCATCTGTCCTCAGCAAACCACATCATTAGCTGTCACCTATTGCTGGGTGTCGTTACCCTACCCTTGCAGTTCCTTTCTGACCATCCCAATTCAAGTCCAATGCGCCTTTGCTAACATGACATTTCATTCTCAGCCTTGAATCAGGCAGAGTAAAGCAGCCCCAGGGACTGGGTGAATGACAGAACCGCAGTTGTGAAACGACCATTTATTGAGGGACCTTCCAAGGAGCCCAGAGCTCAGGGCAGGCCAGGAGATGGGAGGGTGATCTGCCGATTTCCCCCACCCGCAACCCAAGAGAGAGCACAGATGCAATGGCTCTGAGCGAGACCAGCTCGAACTTGGATCTGGAAGCGCAGAAGCAGCTCTCTAGGTTCATAAACAGTCTGCCCACCCCAGTCAGGGCCAGACGCTTACACGGAGGAGGCAGAGTGACAGGATGAGAGGGGCAGAGGGACCCAGAAAGATCTTGTCCCCCATGCCAAGTGACACAGAAGGGGAAAACAATGCAGGAGGTGGCCCTGGGAAATGCTCATGGGGGGCAGGAGGGCTTGGAGGTGGGAGAATCGGGCAGGGGTAGGAGAAAGATGGCGGGGGCTGGAGGGGGAGGGGTGTGGTCACCAAGTGGCCAAGGTCCCTGCAGGGTGGACCCCACAGCACTCCCGAGATTGGCAGGAGCCTGGATCAGGGTCAAGCACTGGGGCGCTGTGTGGAAGAGGTGAGTGACGAAGTGTGTGTGTGTGTGGGGGGGGGATTAGAATCTGGGAAAAGGGACTAGGAGAGGAGGGGGTGGGGTGGTGACAGGGCCCCATCTGGGGCCCCAGCGGTCACACATGCAATGGTTGGCAGTGACAGCTGGGTGGGGGGGGCACAGCCTTTAAAGTGGGGGATGGTCGGCCATTGGCACGGGAGCCCTACTAGGGGCAAGGTACCTCTGCGGTGCTCGGACCCCAGCGTGGACAGGCAGCAGGCAGGGGTGCAGGCAGACAGGATGGGGGGGGCAGATGGGGGAGGGGCCATGCAGTGATGGCCAGAGCGCGGCCAGGCCGCACACAGCCGAGATCAGGGTGACGGCCGGGAACTCACCGCTCTCCTGCTCGCTGCCCTTCTTGGCGGCGGCGGCGTTGCCCATCGCGGCGGCGTCGCGGCCGGGACCGGTCCCGGAGCTGCGGCGCGGCGGGTGCTAAGGCGGCCGGCGTCCCCGGAGCGTGCTGGGCAGCGGAGGCGGCGGCCCCTGGGGCTGGCTGCGCTGGCTGCGGCGCCACGACCCCCGCCCAGCCCCTGCTTCCCGCGTCTCTCTGCGCCCGCCCGCGGGGGAGCCTCAGCCCAAGTCCTCTGTCCGTGACGCCCCCGCAGCCAGCCGCCCATTGGTTCAGACCTCCCTGACAGACAGCCTCATGCCGCTGCCCATTGGCTTTCCGAAACCTTCCCGCGCTACCATAGGCTCCGGGGTGCGTGACGCGAGTTGCAGACGCTCAGCCACTCACGGACTCGTGAAACCATGGTCGGGCGGGCGGTTGCATGTGATTGGCCGACAAGCCCTACAGGGCTTGGGGCTTGCCCTGCGAGGCCGCCGATTGGCTGAGATGCGCGGCCCCCGTCAGTGTCAATCCCAGGGTGAGAGGGCGGGGCAGCTGCGCAGGCTGCGGCCCGGGCGGCGGGCAGGGCGGCGGCGGCGGCTGGAGGGTAGCTGAGCGGCTGACGCTGCGAGGTGCGGGAGGCGGCCTCAGCGGACGCCCGTGCGGCACCATGAGCCCTGCAGTCTCCCGCCCCTGCCCAGTGCGGCAGCGGCCACGGGCCAGCGGAGGTTGACGCCACGGCGGGCCGGCGCAGCGACTTGTCCACCTGCCAGCGGGGGAGGGGCCGACTGGCGCCGCGGGTCAGAGGTCGCCGGGCGCCGTTCGGCGTCATTCATAAGGTCTGACGCTGGGCAGCCGTGACCCAGCCAGCTCGGAGTTCGCCTTGTTTGCTCTCGCCACAACCGGAGCTGCAAGAAGATGCTGGGCCCAAAAGTGAGGGCAGGCTGGGAGGGGACTCTCAATGTCCACTGTTTACTGTGGCCCAGCCTTAGGCCCCTGAAAAGTAATAACGACACTGACCAAGTACATGACTTCTCGTTCCCAGCACGTTGGTACTGTCATACTCCCATTTTATGGAGGAATGGTGAGACTGATTCCTTGCTCATAACTAATCTCCATTTGCCTGGACATCGCTATGGTAACCTGCCCTCAGGGGCAGGCAGGGAGCCATTCTCTTTCCTTCTGGATGCCCATCTTTAAATTTAGTTTTTATGCAGTGCCGTCGAACACAATGCCTACCAGCTTGTAAGCAAGCATTGTACCTTGCCTAGGGTACTCTTTCAAGTCTGCTGCCAAAACATGGCCAGTTTCCCATTGTGCCACTGACATTAGGGGCCTAAGCACTCTGCTGGAGGGGTCTCCTACATACTAGATTGATGTTCAGAACCCCCACCCTAACACACTGGATGTTGGTATACTTCCATCTTTCTGCTGCCTGGGGCAACATAAACCATCTCCAGACACTGCTAAATGTACTCTGGGAAACAAAATTGTCCCCACCCCCACCAGAGAACCTCTGCAGTAGAGGGTGGTCAGGGTAGGTGCTGAGGGGACAATGGGCTAGCTCTCCCTGATGATAAAGGGTACCTGGCCCTGAGCAACATAAACCCATAGAGTCAATGCTGTGCTCAGCAGTTTATATCCTACTTTCTAAGCCAGCAACTGTACGGCGCACTCCTGTTACTAGGTCAGCTAGTCCTACTCCCTGCCAGAGAGTAGGGCTCCTCTGGATTATGGGATCTGGCTGAACAACCAAATGCTCCATCTATGATTTGGGAAGTTACACCACAGCTAAGTGAAATTATCTAAATTGTAGCTATGTGTATCCTTGGCTCACAATGTTGCTCTATGCCTGTGGGTCAAGGTCATCAGTTGAATAGCTGGTATACTTCAGCTTGGGCAAAGCAAAACAATCTTTGAGCCTCAGCTTGTGGTGCAAACTGTATAACCAGATGAGACTAATAGGGAAGCAAGCAAGAGAAGGACCAGCCACTTTCAGGATGAGGTCAAGAGACACAGGACAAAGAAACAGCATATATTAAAAGAAAAAAATTAGAGGCTAGAGAGATGATTTGAGCACAGGCTGCTCTTCCAGAGGACCAGGGTTCAATTCCTAGCTCCCACATGGGGGCTTACAACCCTCTGTAACTCTAGTTCTAGGAGCTTCAAAGTACGCTTCTGGCCTCTGCAGACACCAGGCACTCAAGTGGTATAGACAGTCATACAGACAAAATATCCAAACACAACGCATAAAATATGTTTTAAGCAAAGATCCTGTCTCTGCTTCCCCAGCACTACAGAGCTCTACAGAGCAAGGCTACACAGAGAAGTCTTGTCTCAGAAAACCAAAAAAAAAAAAAAGATTAAGAGCACTGGCTGGTCTTCCAGAGGTCCTGAGTTCAATTCCCAGCAACCACATAGTGGCTCACAACCATCTGTAATGAGATCTGGTGCCCTCTTCTGGCACACATGGAGGCATACATTGTATACATAATAAATAAATGTTTTAAAAAAAGGTTAGAAAAACAAAAAAAACCCACAAAACTTTCTCCAGCTATGGTGTTACATACTCATAATCCTAACACTCCAGAGGCAGAGGCAGGTGAATCTCTGTGAGTTTGAGACCAGCTTGGTCTACATGGTGAGTTCTAGGCATGCTGGGGGCAGGGGTGGATGTGGGGGGGGGTGTAGAAAAAAAAAACAAAACCAGACAAGCTAGATGAAGTGCTTTTATTTTTAAATCAACCAAAACTTTTAATATAAAATCATTTTCATATACACACTGCAATCACAATAGCATCCATGTAGCAGCAGCAAGGGGACCCAGGGCTTAGGGTAAGGATAAATAGAGTGGGAATTTCTCAGGTCAGCCTGCCAAATGCCTCCTTATCCTGGAGTACTGGGTAGCTCATGAGAACATGTCATCAAAGCAAACCCTGATGACTCCATGGGGTCAGTCAGACTTCACAAAGCGAGACCTCCAACTTGCCTCTTATCCAAGGCCATACTGAGAAAGCTGGGCCCAGTTATGAGATGAGAAGGTGGCTATGATCAAAATACCCACCATTCCTTCGTGGCCCGAGGAGCTCACCTTTAGGGAGTTTTCTGGTAGTGGTTAGACTAAATGACCTAGACACCCTGGTAGGACAGTAGTGGTACCGTCTGCCTTCTAACCAGTATCCCTTGCCTGAGACCCCCAAGAACTGGAGTGAGAAGGAGTGACAACCTTTGACCAAAGGCTAGCCAAGCATCACCCAAACATGCCTCAAGGAAGGTAACGTTCAGAGAATTTCTCACAGGAACTGATAGTGTAGAAGGAAAAAATGACCAAAGAATGAGCATATGAGTACCTGCTTCTTAGAGGTTGGTGGGTCAGAAGTGAGATGATTCTTCTGGACCTGAGCTGAGAGATTGGAGTCCATATTTTCCTTGGGGCAGACCGGTCTGGAGGCAGCTGGTGGCCTCCAAATCCTTGAAATGACCAAGCATGAGGGCCTGTAGGTCCCCTCCAGGTGTGCAAGGAGACTGTGTGGCCCCCATCAGATGCAGTCCATGGAGTTCTCCGGGAGGAGGCCTGAGATGCAGCTAGGGAGGCCCAGGCTTTTGATGGGGGTGCAATTGAGGGAAAGGTTGAAGTCCAGGTTGGGGTCCTGGTTCTCTATGGCCTCCAGCCTGTCTGAGTTGTCCCAGTTGATATGGAATCGGGTCACCCGGGGGTTAGAAGCCAAGATGTTCCGCTGTAGCTGGAGCAAGAAGTATGTCAGTCCCTATCACCTAAGGAACAGGATTCCCTCAGACCTCCACTTTGAGCCCAAAAGATGCTTGTACACTATGACTAGGCACAGGGCATTCCTCATTCTGGTTTTGCTCATTTGTTTTTGGGTTGTTTTGAGAGAGTCTCAACTATGTAGACCAGGTAAGTATAGAACTCACAGAACTCTGCCTGCCTCTGTCTCCCAAGTGCTGGGGTTGTAGGTGTGCACTACCATGACTAACATGATTTTTAAAAGAGTTTTATGTGTATGGGTGTCTGGCTACACATATATCTGTATACATGTGTGTGCCTGGTGCCTTTGGTGGCCAGAAGAGGGTACAGATGCCCTAGAACTGGAGTAACAGCCACCATGTGGGTGGCTGGAGTATGTGCTACCATGTGGGTGCTGTGCTGGGAATTGAACCTGAGCTCTGAAAAACAGCAAGTTTATTAACTGCTGAGTCCCCTCTCCAGCCCATTTAATTTAAAAAAAAAAAATCTTTTATTGTATAAATGTTTTGCCTACACATATGTCTATTTGTTACATGTGTGCCTAATCCCCATGGAGGTTAGAAGAGGGCATAGATCCCCTGAAACTGGAATTAAAGGTGGCTGTGAGCTACCATGTGGTCGCTAGGGATCAAACCCAGATCCTTTGCAAGAGTGGCCCTTTAGCACCCCACCTCATCCCAACCCCTGGCCTGGAAACAGGGTCTTATTATGTAGCCTAGGTTGGTCTGGAACTCATTATGCAGAGGAGGCTGGCCTCCTAATTTATAATACTTGCAGCTCAGCTTTCTGAGGACAGGGTGCTGGGATCAAAGTGTGCTACACTCCCTCAAGCTCTACCTCTGATCCTGTCAGGTATGCCTCAGGAAGAAAAGACTTGCTCTATCCTAGCTCTAGCTCAGAGACAGCATGACCTGTTAACCTTCATTGACCTGGGTTCCCCATACCCTCAGCTGTAACAAACTGGCCTGTGTGAAGCAGGAAATTCAGAGACAGATCTCACCTGAGAGAAGTCTGGCTTTGGAGGTGGGTTCTCCCGAAGCTCTGGGTTTGGGTACTCATTGTTGACATAGTAGCCCACACGGATAAATTCTTGTCCATGGTAGGTGCAGGTAATGAGAACCACAGTCACACCCACAGCGTCCGTCTCGGGAATAAGGGTTGGATTTGGGGCATCAGCCTGGGGAGATACATCCTGGACTTTAGTACTGTCAATCATGATTCAAAGACTACCAAAGAACTAGGACTAGACAAACTGATCATACAGGTAACTAAAAAGAGAAGATGAATTTGATTCCGAAACATGATTGCTCAGCATGCAGAGCCCTACCTTCCATCCTTAGTCCCAGTAACAACAACAATAAATTCAGCGGGGAGGTGGTGACACTTGCCTTTAATCCCAGCATTTGGGAGGCAGAGGCAGGCGGATCTCTGTGAGTTTGAGCCAGCCTAGTCTACAGAGCAAGTGCCAGGACAGGCTCCAAGTTTCACAGAGAAACCCTGCCTTGAATAAAAAAAATTATATTCAAAATTCCTGAATTTGACTAGGAGACAAGGGTGTTCAGGTAGAATGTGGCACACAAAGGGAATGACACAAGAAGTTGGTCAGGTGGATATGAGGCAACTCCAGGCCTACTGGGTCAATTCAGGGCTTGGGAAAGAACAGTGTTTAGAGGAGGTAAGGTCTGAAAAGAGTGATGGTATGTGGAGGTCTGACTGCAGAAGTCTGTAGCAGAAGCAGGGAACACAGCAACAGAGAACAGAATCACAGATCAGGGTGTGTGGTTCTGGATGGAGCAGCTATGTTGTATGAAACCCATGGCAGAGAGCAGAGCATTCCCAGTGGGGCCTGTTCAATGGCCTGGTTACATGCTCTGGAAGGAGGCCTTGCTTGTGAACATGGAGCTTAGTGGGCTCACTAGGCAAGAGTATGAGGGGAACAGGTAGCTTGGAGTAGGAAAAACCAGTAGGAGGGAGGTAATGGATCATGACTTCCTAAGCATCTGCCAATGAGCCTAGTGACACTGGACTAGACATAGCACCATTTGGAAGTCATAGCCCATCTTCATATTCACTGATTCTGAGTTTACAAATCCGCCAATTCAATACATCTAGAAACTTCGAAACCAACAAGTGTGGTACTTTCATAATTACTTACTGACATGTAAAAAGCAAGGAAAATCCAATGCTCAGGTTCCAACATGGGGCCAAACTAGGGGCTACCTGGCCTTGTTGCTTCTGCTTTCATTATGGAGTACAAGGACCCTTTGACTGTCTACCTAATGCCAAAATTCAGGAGTTTCATATGGTGAGCTTGGTTTCTGTCTGTCAGAATGTCAACAGTTCTGCTACACACTCCGGCTACCTTAGTATTTTCTCTCTCCTAGAAACATAGAGCTTAACAACCATGGATGGAACCCTCTGGAACCTTTCTTTGCCACATTACCAAAATCTCAAGGCAGAATACAAACACTAAGTTTTATATTCATCACAACCTTTACTAAATTCCTTTTTTTTTTTTTTTTTTGTTCGTTGGGACAAGTCTCACTTTGTAGCCTTGGCTGGCCTCGAACTCATAAGAGATCTGCCTGCCTCTGCCTCCTGGGTGCTCAGATTAAAGGTGTACTACATCTTGACTATTTTAACAGCATTCAGCTGTGTAGCCTAGGCTATCCATGAACCTGAAGCAATCTTTCTACTTCAGCCTTCCATGTACTGAGATTATATACAAACAACCACTAAATTCAGCTACACCTTTAGTAGAAATTGAGTACTTACTTGATTCTTCATTATATATGCAAATGTTTAGCTCGATGATGCCAAATGATTTGAGATGTCTTAAAATGTAATCAGTGAGTAAAGATTTACATCATACAGTAAACAACAAAATAAATAAGATCCCCAAATGCTGAAGTGCTGCCTGTGTAAAAGCTGGTTATGGAGAAAACCTATGTTCAATGACATTAGTTCACATATGGGTTAGTTCTACTGGCTGAGTTCATGAGTCAACATTTATTAGCAAGGTATTTGAGACAGGGTCTTGCTGCATAGCCCAGGTTGATTCCAAACTGTGTGCTAGACTTATAGGTATGTACTCAGCTCTAACTGATGAACAAGTAACAACAAAACCCCTTAATCCTTGAGGGGAGTAGTTCAATATCTATGAACATGGTTCATGGGTTTGGTACCACACAATTCTTATGAAAAGATCACAAATTAGTGGCCCAGAGGTCACTAAGAGCTGTGACGCAGAGGTAGAGGGAATCCAGAGTAGTGGTCCTTGAAGGACAGTTTCGGTCAGACAGCTCCTGACAGTCAACCAGGATATATGGTTCAGGTAGGTCTTGAACTTGTGGTCCTCCTGACTCATCCTGAGAAGCTGGGATTAGGGGACTGGACAGCATCAGCTCAAGTTAGGGTTTGAACTTAAACCTGACTGCTAAAACCAGTGTGCTTTCAGGTAAAAGAGGAAGGTTCTAGGCTAGGGGTAGCTCAGTAGTGGAGTACATATCTAGTATATGTCAGGCCCTGAGCTCCATCTCCAGCCTGAAACATTTCTAGAAATCAAGGGCTAAGGTACAACTTCCTTACCTGAAAGACGAACATATGCCTTCCAGCAGGGACAGGGCCCACCAGCACTGAGTCTAGGATCTGATCAAACTCCTCGCTCTCAGCTGAGCCCACATAAATGATCTTCCACTCCAGGTCTGCAAGCACATGGGGGGGGGGTAGGAGAATTGAGGACTAAAATAGCTGGAGAGCAAGGCAAGGGTCTGTTAGCTTTAAACACATCTCAATATATTAGAAGGTCCTATGAACTGAGTGCTTGCGGCAGTAGGCTCAAGCACCATAGTACTGAATTAGATCAAGTATGAGGCTCTACTTTAGTGCAGACACTTTTCCTGTGGGCCTAACTAGGCCAGGTGACCTTGACTCTGGCCCTCCAGGGAAACTTCAGCCTCTTAGTAGCAGAGAGGAACCATATAGCATAGGCTGACTCAGGAGTCCTGTGACAGCAGCTTGTGGAAGGAGCAGGGAGTTGGGCTACTAGAGGACCCTGGTCTATGGGTAGGAAGTAGCATCCTCTTTCACAAAAGAATCGGTGCCACCAAGTAGAGCAGATCCCTCGACAACTGGGGCAGAGTGGCAGATTCCAATCCAGCAGGAGAGCCAGGTGGCAGGAGGGGAAAGGCAGAGCTGCTGGGGGAACCAACTTGTCCCAAAGTTGTCCACATCTGGCACCAACTCATGCCTGCTTGTGCACATTTGTAGGACAGATTCTGCCAGCAAATGGTGCGTGACAGGGCATACCACCAAAACCTAACTCTGCACTCCACCATGGGGGGGGGGTTCAGTCATGGGGTAAACCCAAAGCAATGAAAGATAAAGTGCCTGGAGACCCTTTTCCTTCACCAGGCAATCCCTGGTACCCACAGCCTCTTGCAGGGGGGCCAAGGTCATGCTAGTACAGAGAAGCTTGGCCTCAGACCCAGAACTTATTTTAGACTCTTTGAAATTACACAACCCCTAGCTCCAGCAGCTGGGGAAAGTTGCACAAGCTGAGATTTTCACAGGGAGCATGCTCTTAGAAGCTGCTTGGCCCTTGGTCCAGTGAGGCACAGGCATCTAACACTGGAGGCACACTGACACCAGATCACACTGTGGAGGTTTGTCACCCGAGCCATAAGGCCTTCCTCAATACATCCACTCCCTTGTCCCTTACAGTTCCACCTAGATCCTTCTAGGCGACCCCCATGCCTGTGGCTCATCAGTGTTCAAACTCTAGCCTTGGCATTTCTGGGGAAATTTTATGTAGCTATAACACTTTTTTCTTTTCCTTTTTTTTTTGAATGCTTCGTGAATTTTTTTTTTTTTTTTTTTTTTTTTTTTTTACTATTTTTTAACTTATCTTTATCACATATACAGTGTTCTGTCTGCATATCTCCTTGCAAGCCAGAAGAGTGCACCAGATCTCATGATAGATGGCTGTGAGCCACCATGTGGTTGCTAGGAAGTGAACTCAGGACCTCTGGAAGAGTAGTCAGTGTTCTTAACCTCTGAGCCATCTCTCCAGCCCCTGCTTCATGAATTTCTGTGTCATCCCTGCACAGGGGCCATGCTAATCTTCTCTGTATCATTCTGATTTTAGTATATATGCCGCTGAAGTAAGCTTGCTATTTCATTTTTTTTTTAAGCTTTACTTTCCTAAGTGTCCTTCCATAGGTTGCTTTCCTTTTATGTGTATGAGTGTTTTGCATGTATGTCTGTGTAGCCTTTGGTGCCTCATGCCCTTGTAGGCTAGAAGACGGTGTTGGGGCTGGTGGAACTGGATGGTTGTTAGCCATCATGTAGGTGCTGGGAACCGAATCAGGATTCTCTGGAGGATCGATCCATCAGTTTTCTAACTGCTGAACCATCTTTCTAGCTGTCCCTAGCTATTTAAGTCTTTGCAGTGCTGGGGATGAAACTCAGGGCCTGCACATGCAAAAAAAAAAAAAAAACAAACAAACAAAACAAAACTGCTGTACAACACCATGGATTAGTTTCATAAAAAGAAGTGACACACAAGACCAATGTTTCTGGCCTGGCAGTGGTGGCACATGCCTTTAATCCCAGCATAGACAGCATAGAGGCAGGAAGATTTCTGGTTTACAGAGCAACTTCCAGGACTGGCTCCACAGCTGCTGAGAAACCTTGCCTAGAAAAAAAAAAAAAAAAAAAAGGAGGAGGAGGAAGAAGGAAGAAAAGAAGAAGGAAGAGAAGAAGGAGGAGAAGAAGAGGAAGGAGAAGAAGAAGAATCAGTATTTCTGGAAAGACAAAAAAAGAATGCCACCCTTGCTCTACTTGCTTCAGGCCCCTTCCCCCCAAGGCACCTGTTCTTGCTTAGTCTGTGTAGTATATACAGAAAGAAGTAGACAGTGAAGCCTCTTCTTGCCATGGGCCAGACAGACTCAAGAATTCACAAAATACCACATAAAATACTAACTAAAAACTAAGAGTTGATCAAACCATCTACAAAAACAGATACTTGAAACAAGGGCCCATAAACTGCAATCATTTTAAATTTGATAAAGTTCTATTTTATATTTTCTTTCTTCAAAAGATAGAATCACACATGCCTTTAATCTCAGCACATGAGACCCAGCTCTAAAAAAGACAGGGTTGGGCCTGAGAGATGGCTCTGAGGATTAAGGCACTCGCCAGGAAACCTAAAGACCCAGCTTAATCCCCAGAAAAAACATGGACAAAGGAAAGAATTAACCCATCAAGTTGTCCTCTGACCTCTACACGAATTATCACGCACATACGCATAACATATGCAGAAACAGGAACAAACAACAGGGTATTCCTATGTAGTACAGGTTGGTCCAGAGCTCACAATATTCCTGCAAGCCTTCCAAGTATTGGGATTACAAGTGTGAGCCCATGTGTGTCTCTCATTAAAGCTGGGCTGGTGGGTGGCCAGTGAACCCTTGGGAATCCACTGGTCTGAACCCACTTCTCCCTCCCCAATTTTACCTGAGTGATGAACAGTCAAATGCAAGTCCTCCCTGAGCCATTTCCTCACACAACAGAGAAACTCACGATTTTGTTTCAAAATATACTCAAGTCTTTCCTTCCTTCCTTCCTTCCTTCCTTCCTTCCTTCCTTCCTTCCTTCCTTTTTTTAAAGAGACAGGGTTTCTCTGTGAGACAGTCCTGCCTGTCTTGGAACTAAATTTGTAAACCAGGCTGGCCTCAAACTCAGAGATCCACCTGTTCTGCGTCCTGAGCACTGGGATTAAAGGCTTGAGCCACCACACCTGCCCTATACTCAGCTTTTAGAACCAACAGATTCTGTAACCATAAACTCAACCAATCACCACAGATAGTAAATATCAAAAAATAATCTGGGGCTGGAGGCACAGTCCAGGGGTAGCACCTGGGTTCTACCCCCAGGGCCAAACACAAAACCAAATTTGTACTGAACATGAATATATACAACTTCTCTTTTTGTTTTGTCATTTATTCATGTGGAACTCAGAGATCCACACGACTCTGCCTCTTGAGTGCTGGAATTATTCTCTGAACAACATAGTATAAGAGTTATTTTCACATCACTGACACTAAGAATAAGTCACATAGCGCTGAGGAGAATGCTCAGTAATTACAGAGCTTTCTGTGTGAGCATGTGAAAAAGGCACAGTGGCCCACCTATTAACTCAAGCCTCAGAAGGTGGACATAGGAGATCTCTATGACAATTGGCTAGTTAAGATTAGCCATACCATCAAGCTCTGGGTTTGAGAGACCCCGTATCAATAAATAAGAGCAACTGAATATTATTGCCAACATCAACCTAGGAATTCCACTATGTATACAACCTGTATGCCTCATCTTCCCTAAAAAATGGAAAAAGAAAAAAGTCACTTGTAGATGAGTCTATGGAGAGGGGCTGGCTGCTGTGGCACACACCTGTAACTCAGGCATTTTGGAGATGCAGGTAGGAGGATCTGGGAGTGAACTAGACTCTTGTTACATACTAAACTCAAGACTAACCTAGGCTTCACAGACCGTGCCCCCACAAAAACATACTAATAAATGTTTTTTGGAAACTATGTGTATATGCAGGTTCTATGCCCTTGAGCATCTGTGGGTACTGGCACCTGAGGGACTTCTAAAGCCAATGATGAAGACTATTTCTTCCAAAGTAGGCTTGAACCATCAGTCATTCATAAAATACAAACTCACAATGACCAAATAGAGGATTTGAGACAAGATCCCATTGTATAAAACAGGTTGACCTTGAACTCACAAAGATACTCTTGCTTCTCTCTTTCAAGTACTGGGACTAAACGTGCCCAACATTTTTGTTTTTTAATATGTGTATGATGTGTTCACACACATGTGAATGTGGATGTGCCTAAGCCATGAGGTATATGAAGATAAAAGGACAACCTTAAGTACAGTACATGTCAGCACATACAGAGAGCTCTGGGGGATTCTCTTGTCTCCACAACCCTTACCCACTGAAGCTATTTCCCTAGCCCAGTTCTGTTGTGTTTTGATGCCCTAACTTCACAATGACCTCTGTTAAGATAAACCTTTTACTATTTGGGAAAACAAAACCAAAGCTGAAAACATTACTGAAGACATGTAAAAATTATCGTAGATAAGCTGAGCTTGTTTTAGGCAGCACTGGGGACAGAACCTACAACTTATCATTAATGATCTATCCCTCAGCCCACACCTTTTTTCCCTCCTTTATTTCTTGAAACAAGGTCTCACTGTGTAGCCCTTGCGATCCACCTGTGTCTGATTCCTGAGTGCTGGTATTAAAGGTGAGTGCCACCATGCACTGGCTTCTTTGCTTTCTTTCTTTCTGGAGACAGTTTAAGGTAGCCTAGGCTAACATGGAACTTGCTATGATGCTAAAGAAGACCTTGAACTTCCGATCCTCTTGTCATCTTAACCCTGAGTGCTGGGACTACTGTTCCTTTGAGACCAGGTTTCCTATGTAGCTCAGGTATCGACTTGAATGTTAGGGGCACAGCTGCACACACTATTCTCTTTTCTTAAACTTCGGTATATTTATTGCCTGGCCTTTTGTTCATTATACAGATCAACTTTGGTGCACAAAATTTGGTTTCTTTGACTTATTCAGCTGGTGCCTATTGAAATTTTCAGCTGAAGAAGAGTGACGCTGGGCCAACTGCTCTAAATGTTGACCCAAATCTTGGAACTGTCTTCTTTCAGATGCTGAACAGAGGTGACCACACGGCTCGGGCTTTTGGACATGGGGGTTAGCTGACCAGGACTGTCAGGTTTCAGTAGGCAGTGCCAAAACATAAGGAAACAACTTCTTCATGATTCATGGAAAGGAGGCCAGGAAGAAGATGAAGCCATCATCTTTCAGGTCTGCCAGATAAGGAATAGAACCAACCAGCACAACTTGGAGCAAAAGTGTCCTCTTCCATCTTTTCAAAGGGTCCCAGTTGACAAAAAAATTCTATGGTCATTCCTAGTATGTTCTACTTCTAAACTACTGTCAGGCTGGTGACACAGCTCAATGGGCAAAGCCACTGTTTAGCATGTATATAGTCCAGGGTTTGATTTCTAGACAAAAACAAGAGATGCCACAAACAGGACCCTTTTCCCGCTCCAAATAAAACAAAAAAAAAACCAAAACCTTACAAGTAGGGGCTGGAGAGATGACTCAGTATTTAAGAACACTATCTACTCTTACAGAGGACTCAGGTTTGACTCCTAGACCCACATGGTGTTACACAGTCTATTTCCAGTTCAGGAAACCTGACATCTTCTGGCCTCTGCAGGCACCAGATGTGCATGTGGTGCATATACATACGAGCAAATAAAATACACAGAAACAAAAAGACCTACAAGTAAATGTTTCCTTCCCTTTCTAGGACTGAAGGGAAGATATGGAATCTGGGAGCTGGCTAGATGTCTCAGGATAAAGTGTTTCCTATGAAAGCCTGAGAACCTGAATTCAGGCTGCTAGAGAAACAGCTCAAGGTTAAGATCCAATATTGCTCTTAAAGACCAAGCTTGATTCACAGCACCCACATCAGGAGGCTCAAACTAGCTATAGAAGATCAGATGTCTCTGTCTTCCAGGGACTCCCATGTATACACCACTCCAACACACACACACACACACACACACACACACACACACACACACACAGAGAGAGAGAGATCAGGTGTGGTGGTGCGCCAGGACTACATAGTGAGGGCCACTACTCAGGAGAAAGAGACGGTGGATCCCTGGCTCATTAGGTGGCCAGCCTAGCAGTGTTGGAGCTCCAGGTTTTCTAGGACACTAAAATAGGTACAACAGGGCTGGAGACAGCCCATGGGTTAAGAGCATTAGCTGCTCACCTAGAGGCCAGGCAGAGTCCCACTACCTGCATGGTGACTCCTAAAGTCTCTAACTCCAGTTCCAGGACACCCAACTCCTTCTTTTAAACTCTGTGGGTACCAGGCACTCAAGTGGTACCATAAATATATGTAGACAAAACACACACACTCACAGAAATAAAATAAAATCTTTAAAAAAAAAAAAAAAAAGATGCAAAGCAATGAAGAGCAGTTGAAGAGACTACCTGATGTGTCTCTGGCCTACATCCAAGACAAATTAAATTAAAAAAATAAAGTTAAAACATAATCTGAAGCCAGAAACAAACTTCAGTGCTAACACTTTACTGTCTGGCTGACTTGGAGAAATCACCCTGCTCCTATTAAAATGGCCAGCTGGCTGACTTTAGCCTTGATGTTCTAATTCTTGTTTTGTTTTTCAAGACAGAGTTTCTCTGTGTAGTTCTGTAGACCAGGCTGGCCTCAAACTCAGATATCTGCCCGCCTCTGCCTCCAGAGTGCTGGGATTAAAGGTGTGAGCCTCCACCATCCAGCTTTTGATGTCCTAACTCTATAAATAAGGAATCAAAGTAATATTAGGTAATGACCATGCAACCGTTTTTAAATGCAAGCAGCACACTGAAGCTGATTGAAACCTGCTCTCTCAGCATCTGGGAACCACGATTCCCTTGACTTAGGTCTCCTCTTGGTTTCCAAATAAATCTTATCCCACACTGTCACCCTACCTTTTATTTATTTATTTACACACTGCCTTGTTCCAGCAAGAATTTAACCCAGCTTATTCTATAGTTAGTCACAAGTAGATTCCTTTAAGCTTAAGGAAAAACTAGGGGGAGGCTGAGCCAGTGGCCCACCCCAAGCACACATTATAGCAGCTCCAAGTGGACAGAAGTGGCTGCATTTGTCTGAATGACAACCAACAGCCACCAAGAGGCACTAGCTGTCACAACCTGGCCTCTCAGAGCTCCACCTCCTCGGCTGCTACATCTTTCAACCTTCAGTAGGAAAATGGAGTGTTTCCTCCTGAAAGCAGGACTTGCCTTGTGGTGATATTTTGTTTATGCTATAACAAATAAAGCTTTCCAGAAGATCAGAGTGCAAAGCTAGCCACACTAGCTAGCCATAGTTCAAGGCCATCCTGAGCTACAAGAAACTGAGCCAGTCTGAAAGAGAAACAGTTCACACAAAGGTGATCTCAGCACTTGGGATCCCACCCACCCCTTTAATCCCAGCACTAGAGAGGAATATACAGCAGGAGACAAGGATGTGCACTATGAGGTAGTCTGAGGAGCAGTGAAGTCTGGAGATACACTCTGAGGATAGGATCACCCTTTCTGCCTGAAGTAGAGGTAAGAGCCAGTGGCTGGCCACTTTGCTTCTCTGATCTTCAGATTTAACCCTAATATCTGTTGGGCTTTTACTAAACATGCTACATTGCCTTGCTGTGGAGCTGAGACTCCAAAGTGACCTCAGGGTTAACATGTTCACAAACTTATTTCTAAGGTCTCTTGCTTTTTGTGGCCCTTGTCCTGCCACCTAAGATGAGAGCCATGCCCACCTTTATGTCCTGCAGATGAATTAAGTCATTTCGTAAGATTCACAAAAAGCAGCACCCCCCACCCCACGACACAGCTGGCCGAAGTTGAATCCCATCCCTGTTTGTCCAGTCCCCCCACTCCCCAGACCAAGTCAGTCCACCAAAAGGAATGAGGGATTCCTTACACTGAGACTGCTGGAAGCTGGTAGAAATCTCAAAACCGGCAGAAGCTTGCCTGGCGGTAGCACCCCTTACCAGGAGCTGGGGAGACCAAGTTACCTACAAAACCTGGAGCCAGAAGACCCCATTCCTCCCCAGAGTAAGGTCATGCATAGGATTTGGTACTAACCTAAAGAGAGGCCCCAGTCTGGGCAACAGCCATGACGTTACAGTTGACACGCAGGAGTTACGAGGGACAAATCTAGGGATGGTATTGTTGGGAGTGGGCAGACAGGGTAACAAGAGGAGGGTCTGCTGGTCTACAGAAAAGTGTCCACAAGGAAAATGGGGGAGGGTACTGGAGGCTGGGTTCCATCGAAGAGAGGATAGATGGGAGGTTTCCTATGGGGAAGTAGGCATGAAACTTGAGTCTAGCCATTTGTAAAGAAGGCGTGGCTGCGGGTCTCTTACACGTTAAATGGAGGCTCACACCACTACAAGGAAAAGGTGCAGAACGAGGGGTGCCTCCACGAGACAATGTAGGTTACTGTGCACAGAATCGCATCCACCACGGCGTCGGACCTGGACATGGAGGCGTATCACTAAAGGGAGATTCAGCTGGCAGAGGGGAGACGTTCCTGGGGAGACTCGGAGTGGCAAAAACGAGGGCAAGAGGGCTTGGGGTCCCCTGCATAGGCCCAGCCTCACCGTCAGACAGGGCCTCACTGCATTCGAAGCTGATCTCGAACCGGAAGGGGCTGTGGAAAGGGCTCGGGTTCTCCAGGACAGCCACGTTCAGCACCGACACCTTGGCCATCACCTCGCCAGGGGGTCACAGCTGCAGTGGAGCTTTCTTCGGTGCCTACGGAGGCAATGGCGACTGGGAAAGAGGAGGTCGGCTAGACAGAGTGCCTCTCTGCGACACCAACTCTTCTCTCTAAAGAGCGTCTCCGGTCCGCGCGCTGCCTTCAAATAGCCGACTCCACCCCCCAGCCAATCGCCGCTGAGGCTCTATGACGGCGCGACAGCCCCGCCAGCCAATCCTGAGGCGTCTTCCGGCTCGCGCCTCGACCCGCAGACCAATCAGAGAAGCTCCCTCTTCACGGTCCACGGGAGGCGGAACGATAATCTTTTAGCTTCGTAATGTGTCCATCCGGAACCAATCCCTAGCGTCTCCGACTCGAATATCTTGCGCCGGGGTGGGCGGAGTTAGAGCGCGGAACTTCTCTTGTCCAATCCCAAGGGTTACCGCACCGCCGTGACCCGCCCCCTCATTCTGCTCTTCCGGTAGACACACCCCACAGAGAGCAGAGCCACCAACGGCCGAACGGTGGCGCGCGACTCTCACTTAAGAGCGAAGAAAGAACGGAACCAGAACTCGCAGTGATTGACTAGCGACCAAAGGGCGGGGCTTAAGTAGGCTTGTGAGATGTGATTGGCTAATGTCGTGACCCGGCACAGGGAAGGCTGGGCTGGAACTGGCACTCCCACACAGTGGGAAGCATAAAGGGGACAAATGTGGCGCGGATCTGGCGGCTTTGGCGTCCGTGAGGACAGCGGTGGATGAGGCTGTGGTGAATGCTATGAACATTTGGATCACCCCTGAAGGGGATACAGGATCGAATCCCGGTCCGAAAGGAGTTCAAGTTGGTCGACTCCACGGACCAGGGTGTGGATCCTGTCTCTACACGTTTTCCAACGGGTTGAAAAATTCACTGCCATGACCGGGCGTGGTGGCGCACTCCGGAGGCACAGGCAGACGGATCTCTGAGTTCGAGGACAGCCAGGGCTACACAGACAAACCCTGTCTCGAAAAAACAAAAACTTTTAACTGCCACTGTTTATGACGACATAATGCAGTCTTTATAGTCTCTTACACATAACAGCCAGTGAGGAATAATGCTAGCCACAGACCTTTTACTAATAAGTCTTTTAAAGGAAACAAAACAACAACAATAAAAAATGCCTGGAGTGGTGGTGTATATCATTAATCCCAGCACTCAGGAGTCTGAGGTAGGCAGATATCTGTGAGTTCAAGGCCAGCCTGGTTTACACAGAGAGTTTGGGGAAGTAAATGGATAAACTGGTTTTTACATTTGACCAGCATAAAAAGGCAAAGAAGTGATGAAACTGATTTTAGTAGTACATTTAACTCAATAGAACAAAAATGCCAATTTCAAATATCAGTATAAAAACACTAATGAGGTAATCTGCATCCTTTTATTTATTGAGAAATCTTTGGGATCCTGTACATGTTTTGCATACAAACACATCTGTAACTTGGCAAGGGAATCTCCACTTTAATTTGAAAGAGGTAATCTGGGTTTTATATTTCACAAAATTTTACAGTTTGTACTGGGTGCTTTTGTGTGTTACTGAAGAAATGCCTCCTTGAGATACAGCTTTAAGGTATTTTCTCAATTAGTAGTCAAGGGGAGGAGAGCCCAACCCATGGTGGATGGTGCCGTCCTGGGTTCTATAAGAAGGTCGGTTGATTAAAAAAAAAAAGAAGAAGGACGGTTGAGCAAGCCAGTAAGCATTTCTCTATAGCCTCTGCATCAACTCCTGCCTCCAGGATCCTGCCCTGTTTTGAGTTGCTGCCCTGACATCCTTTGATAATGCACAGCAATGCTGAAGCGTAGGCCAAATAAACCCTTTCCTTTCCAACTTGCATCTTGGTCATTGTGTTTCATGGCAGCAATAGAAACCCCCCTAACTCGGACACTGCTGAAAATGTAAGCCAGTAATTTCAGCACTTGGGAGTCAGGGCAGGAGTTCAAGGCCTTCCTTGTGAGTACATATAGAATTAGAGGGTTGGAGAGGTGGCTCAGTGCTTATGAGAGTCTACTGCTCTTGCAGAGGACCTGAGTTTAATTCCCAACACCCACATCAGGCAGCTCATATCTGCCTGGAACTCCAGCTTCAAGGGATCTGATGTCCTCCTCTGGTCTCTGGAAGCATCTGTACTCTTTTGTTGTAGAATAGAATATTTGATTATGTAAAGATGTGTTGCATTTGTTTGTATTGCAGAATAATTGTTTAACTATGTAAAGATGTATTTGTTTACACAGCATTTGTTTAATTATGTAAAGATGTGTTACTTTGCCTATCCAAAGCATCTAATTGGTCTAATAAAGCATTGAATGGCCAATAGCAAGATGAGTTGCTATTTCACCTTGCTTGCCTAAGGCACCTGATTGATCTAATAAAAAGCTGAACGGCCAATAGCCAGGTAGAGAAGGGATAGGTGGGGCTGGCACGCAGAGAGGAAATGACAGACAGACAGACAGACAGGGGCCAGATGGGGGGTGGGGAACAGACATGGAGAAAACAGTTCAATGGGACATACAGAATGAAAGTAAGGGGAAAATCTCCAATGCAAAATGAAGAGAAACAGGTTTAGTGGAACAATCCCAAGCTAAGGCCAAGCTTTCATAATACGTCTCCATGTCATGATTTGGGGGCTGGCAGTACAAGAAAGCCTGCTATATTATTTTTTCCTTTTCCTTTTTTCTTATTTAAGGTGCTTGAGATGGCTGGAGCAATTAGCAATTAAGAACACATGCTTCCCTTGAAGAGGACCCAAGCTCAGTTCCCAGCACTCACATGGCATAACAGTCCAGCCATTCATGGCTTCAGTTTCAGGAGATCCAAAGCCCTCTTCTGACCACTGAGTACCCTAGACACCTGTATGTTGTACATTCAGGCAAGCGGAGCACTCAGTGTTACATAAAAATAAGTAAAAACAGCTGGGCACACACCTTTAATCTTAGCACTCAGGAGGCAGAGGCAGAGGCAGAAGGATCTCCGAGTTTGAGAACTCAGTGAGTTCCAGGCCAACCACGGCTGCACAGCAGAACTCTGTCTTAACAAAAAAAAGGAATGGGGCAGTGGAGGGGCCTACCTCCCAGCACTCAGAGGGCAGAGGCAGGAGGATTCTGTGAGTTTGAGGCCAGCCTAGTTGGTCTACAGAGCGAGTTCCAGATCAACCAGGACTGTTACACAGAAAAATCCTGTCTCTAAAAAAGCAAACAAATACTTTAAAAAGGAAAGAAAGGGGCTGGAGAGATGGCTCAGTGGTTAAGAGCATTGACTGATCTTTCAGAGAACCTGGTTTCAATTCCCAGTACACACATGGAAGCTCACAACTGTCTGTAACTCCAGTTCCAGGGGATCTGACACCCTCAAACAGGCAAATATTCAGGCAAAACACCAATGTACATAAAATATGAAAATAAGCAAATCTTTTTTTAAAAAAGGAAAGAAAGAAAATGTATGTGGGTTCATGTATTTCGATCCCAGGTGTTACCCACTGGAGGTTCAAATGAGAATGCTTAGGCTGGTATGTTTGGATGTGTGGCCTACAGTTGGTGGAACTGTTCAGAAAGGGTTAGGAGGGGCATTGTTGGAGGTGTGTCACTGGGAGTGGGCTTTGAGGTCTCAGAAGACTGGCAGGGTTCCCTGCTGGTGGGTCAAGATGAGAGCTGCTCCTGCCACCATGCCTTTGCTTTGCCATCATGGACTCTAACCCTCTGAATCCCTAAGCGAATTAAACTCTTATAAATTGCCTTGGTTGTGGTTCCCAGCAACAGAAAAGTTAACTAAGACACATACACAAAAGCTTTCCATCTCCAGAACTAAATAAAGTAACCAGGTCTGCTTTGGGAGGGTAAGATGGGAGGATTGAATACAATTTTGAGGCTAGCCTAAACTATATTGTAATGCCTTATCTCAGAAAATAAAATCAATTTAAAGATGAAGTTGCCATGTGTTTCCTAGGCATAAGCCAAGTTCCTCTCCTTTTGCAACGTGGACTTCTTTATCCCCAACCCCATCCTCTTCATACCCCAGAAAAGCTTAGCCACAGTAGTCTGCAGTGCTTATAAAGAAACTCCTGTCCATTTTATTCTTGGTACAGCTAGCTAAATGATCTTCAGCCATAAACCAGATCAAGTTATTATTCTGCTTAAAACCTTCAAAGGCTTATCCTGCTTAGAATGAAACCTAAGATCTTTACTATGGCTCAGGAGGCCCTGCGTGGTGGCCCTGTCAGCCCTGTGTGGTGGCCCTGGCTAATCTCGCTGGCCTCATCTTTCAGTTTCCTTCCTGTCATTACTTGAAGCCTTGCTGGCTTTATTCTCTTTCAGCCCAGCAATCTGACCCTGCTTGGGGGCTGTGCCCTTGCTGTTCCCTTTGCATAGAAGATGTCTTCTCTGGGAAATCACTTCGACTCATTCTCACTATTAGGAATCCTCAGAAGATTCCTCAGACCACCCCTAGTTGATATGGTTCTTTATTTATTTTTATATTCTGGAACTACTACTTGGCAGTTGGTCTGATAGGCTGCTTACATCCTCTTTGTGCCTTAGTTTTCTCATATTTATTACATTTTTAGTCACTTTCAAACTATTTTATGTGTTTTATCTACATGTATGTCTGTGTACCAGGCCTGGTTCCCATAGAGGTCAGAAGAGCAAGTCAGATCCCTTGGAAGTAAGTGTCAGGTGACTGTGAGCTGTCATGTGAGTGCTGGGAATTGAACTAGGGTCCTTTGCAAAAGCTGCCGCAAGTGCTCTTAACCACTGGGCCATCTCTCCACTTCCATTTATTTATTTGCATTTGTGTGTGGAACACAGAGGTCAGAGGACAAATTGCAGAAATCACTTCTCAGGGATCCAACTCAGGCCATCAGGCAAGTGCCTTTACCCACTGAGCCATCACACCAGTTTTTATTATTATTTTTAATGTGATGGGTGTTTTGCCTGCATATATGTCTGTAAATTACTTTGTGTGCCTGGTGCCTACAGAGGACAGATGAGGGCATAAAGTCCCCTGGAGCTGGAATTACAGGCAGTTGTGAGCTGCCATGTGGGTGTTGGGAGCTGAACCTGGGTCTTCTGCAAGAG